ATAAGAAGACGTGCTGATTATTTATCTGTCAAGGCAGGTCCATCTGTTTTGAAGATTCGGGCCAAAATGCCAAAAATGATAATTCAGTTTTTGAGAAAAAAGCGTCCAATCACATTCAAAAAAATTTACAGAATAAATAACTGCTTAAATTTATGGGGGGCAGGTTCAGCGGTTTAGATGATCCAATAAAAAAATTTGAAAAATATGCACGTTACATTATCAGATTTTAAAGATATTATAATAATAAGAATAAATTTTGTTTACATTTATATAAGTTCTGTAACATTGTTTATCCGTTAGACTGCGACGCGGCGCTTGCGCGCTTCAATATTTTGTCCCTCGCAGCGCGATTGCTTTAAAAAAAAAGTTCGAAAGTTCGTAAAATTTCAGGGATGGGGCGGCATTTTTGTCAGTGCCCCGGGGCGCCAAATTTCTAAATCCGGCCCTGGGGTTACCTGTATAATAATGTATAAATATGTATTGTTAAGCTCTATTCTCTCATTGTAATTTTCAACCCAATTTAGTGACCAAACGTTACTCGATATATTTTATTATTATAATTTTTTAACAGATGATTTTTAACATTAGTATTTAATAAAACCGTGGCAATCAGGAAATAGGTAGATAAGTAAACCAGCGGACTAGTAGACTGATATACAGGTAAACAGGTAGGGAAATAGATACGTAGATAGATAAAAAAGTAAACTGGCAAATTGGTGGACGGTATACGAGTGGACAGATAAACTGGTAGACTGATGAACTGGTAGATAGATAAATATGTAGATATGTGAGCAGATAAACAGGTGAACAGTTAGACAGTTAGGTTGATAGGTAAACAAATCTATGTCAAGCCGACGAATCATCTGTACGTTTTGTGGTGTTTTGTAGTTTGCTATTGATTATAGTTAATTACATAATTCTAAGTTAATTAATCTGTATACAGATATTATAAGTATGTTTTAAGATATTAATTAAAAATCGTTTTTAATGAAAGCAAAATATTTATTTTAGCTTCTTTTAAGCTAATTCTAATTTCTGTTGATAATAACAAAAATAGATATGCATAAATAAGCATAACAAGTATCAACACGTATCGGACAGTTCTTGCAACTTGCCTTAAGGCAAAATGCTACTTATAGCTCTGGGTTGTTTGGAAAGTAACTTCGTAAATTCATATTTGGCACGTATACTTTGAGAAATTATGTATTGGAAATTTTGATCGAACATCTTTTGTCATATTTCTCATATACATTTTTTGGTCGTTATTGGCAAAAAACCGATCAAAATGCTTTTTGACATGCTGATTTGCCGGAAAAAAAATAATGGTCCGATGATGGCAGGTCTGGAGAATATGATGAATGTGTCTTTGCTTCCCAAAGATACAATACAAGCTTACAATGACCAAACTTATCTGAGGTCTTGCGTCGTCCTGATGTAGGACTATATCTTCTTGTGGGATAATTCTGACCTTTTCTATTGAAGTATATCATTTAGTTTATCCAGCTGATGACATAAGGCATCCAAATTAACCGTTTAGTTATCCTGGAAATACTGAAAAATGAACCAAATGTAAAATCTTACCAAACATACAGCATCACCCTTTTCTTGCAAATTTCAGCTTTGCATCTGTTGGAGCAGGTTTTTCTTTTTTGTTTCATGGGCAATTGCGTGTATTGTATTCTTTACATCCCATTTGATATTCCTAGTGACAATTCGCTTCAAAACTTGATAATTTTTAGGACTTTTCAGAGGCGAATCGCGGACGCCTGTACGAAGACACACGTTTCTTTCTATGAAAACCATACATTGAATTTCGTGGAAAATCCCAGACTTTTTGAGCGGTCATGAACTGTTGAATTTGATTATTTTTAACTCAATGTGATCTCATGTATTGTTATTTGTCGGTTTGCATCATCTAATGCCTTTCTCGCGTTTTTATCAGTATCGCGTACTTCTTGGACTTGGAGCATCTTGTACATCAAAATACCAGGAATGAACTTTAGAAAACCAATTTTTCCACTGTCCTACTATCAACACGTCATTTCTATACACATTGGTCAATTTCATTTTGACTCAAACAGTATTATTAATAACTTTTCTACAGCCAAAGAGTAAGATAAGTCGGAAATGCAGCTTAATTCTTTTCGTATTCAGAGTGACACCATCCAAACACTACAGCGAGTAATTGATTAGAATTTTTTACACACAAACCTTAAAATATAAGTTATCAAATCATATAATTATTAGTTCAAAAAAATATAGTTAAATTCCAGTGGTAAAAAAACGAAGACGAAAAAACAACCTTATAGTTTAAGAAATAATTCCATATTAGAATTAATAATAAAAACTATACTCTTCTTCTCTTTTTTTGTTTATAATTTAAAACATTTGTTGACTGTTAAGTCTTACGAGAAGAACCCGCGCGTTGTCCGATGTGCTCATTGCAATTTATTTTTGTTTCTCTTGTTTTTATGATAAGTACCATTTCGTCAATTAATTCTTAAAGTAGTTAATATATGCAAATAAATTATATTTTTTCTTCCTTGTTATTGCTGTTTTTTATATGAAATTATAGTGTTTCAGGTATTCAGAACTCAAATTAATTTTAATATTATTTACTCATGCAATTATAAATTTGAATTAAAAATAATAAAAAATTATTATGAGCGGAATTTGAAATTGTATGTGTAGTGTGGACGCTACCACGCATAAACATTTTTCATTCAGTTAATATGTGTAGTACTGCAGTCCTGCATTAGTTTATGTTGTGACTATCATGAGATATTGATCATTATGCTTATTCATCTATGATATTGATGTTATTGCCAAATTTTGTAGATTTGATCACTTTAAATAATTTTTCTCTTTCCCGCCACTTTAAACAATAAAACTGACGTTTCAGGGTACATCCTCAAACAAAGAAGGTTCAAGCCTCACTGCTATTAGGCGTTTGTTCAAGTTCGTTTGGAATGCCTTCGTTTATGTTCGTGTTTGTTCTTCTTTGTGTTTTCTTGTTCGTCATGTTCGTTCGTGCACTTTCGTGCTCGTTGTCTCATACACGATACACGTCTCCATCGCGTCTCTTGTTAAATAACAAAACGATTTGGTAAGTGTCTCATCTTTCTTTAAGCACACTCTATGCTTCAAATGTCAAATAATTAAAATGTAATGATTGAATTTATGGCATTGAAAAAGATAGTTGATTAAACTAGATTATTAGTTAGCCCACGACTATTTTCGTGTATATTTAGTGAGTAAAAGCAGTGAGAGTATTTGAAGATGTCAGAAGAATCAATTACGTATGTAAATGATCAGGCGATTAAAATCGAACCACCGGAATGTTTAGAAGAAGGCATTAAAGGTGATGTTGAGGATGAATTTGACGTTCTTGATGCTGTTGTTAAGTCTGAATCTGAAGATGTTGAAACGTGTTTAGAAAGGTTCATGAATTCCGAAGTGACTATAGAAGAAAAAGTCAAACAGGAGTCAATCGAGACATTGGCCTTTGAATGTGACATTTGTTATCGATCGTTTGCAGAATCACATCATTTGAAAGAGCATATGGTCGATCACATGCCTAGTCATAGAAAAGAAAGCGCTTTTGAATGCGAAATCTGCCACAAGACTTTCACACGAGTAGGTCATCTGAAAGACCACATGCTCATTCACAGTGGTGAGCGCCCCCATCAATGCAATACATGCAATAAGAGATTCAGACAATTGAGTCAACTGAAAAGTCATATTATTATTCACAGTGATGAGCGCCCCCATGAATGCAATATATGCAATAAAACATTTACACGAACAAATAGTCTGAAGAGACACATGCTAATGCACAAAGGAGTACGCCCCCATGAATGCAATATATGCGATAAGAAATTTATGGAAATACGTACTCTGAAACGTCACATGGTGATTCACAGTGGAGTGCGCCCCCATCAATGCAGTATATGCCATAAGAAATTTACACAATTAAGTAATCTAAAATGTCACATGCTCATTCACAATGGTGCACGTCCCCACGAATGCATTATATGCAATAAAACATTTACACATTTAAGATATCTAAAAAGTCACATGCGCTATCACAGTGGTGAGCGTACCCATGAATGCAATATCTGCAATAAGGCATTCACAGAATTAGGTAATCTGAAACGTCACATGCTGATTCACAGTGGAGTTCGCCCCCATAAATGCAGTATATGCAATAAGACATTTTCACAAATAAGTCATCTGAAAAGTCACATGCTCTATCACAATGGAATACGCCCGCATGAATGCAATATTTGTAATAAGTCATTCACACGTTTATATAATTTGAAACAGCACTTGCTGTGTCATCACAGAAAAGATACTTACAATTGTGAAATATGCAATGAGGGATTTACTCTATCAACCAAATTAAAAAAACACATGGCACTTCATAGTCGGAAACATGAAGAGAATAAATAAAGATTTAACCTGTTTGTTGCAGGTGTCAGAAATTTTATGATCAAAATGAGTCTAAACGCGCTTTTTGTAAAACTAATAATTTTGCACTGAGAAATATTTAGATCCAGTCATGATCCAGTTTACTATGAACACACCAGGAGGGAAATGAATTTAGTTGAGACTGCATTACTAGGCAGTCATCTATTCAGTTTATTTTTAAATATATATAAAAGATAATATAAAAAATGTAATGGTGGATTGATACTTAAATTTTAAAGTATATTTTGAAAAACTATATTATAAAACAAATACTGAATTTCAAGCATGTTGGCACCTAGCAAACCATATTGAATTTGAAAAGACGCGCCACTTGTTAATTACCAAAACGATTTGGTAAGTGTCTCATTTTTTTAAGAATGTACGCTATGTTCTAAATGTCAAATAATAATTGTAATTTCAATTGAATTCGTTTATAAAATTGTAAAAGATTGTTGATTAAATTAGATTATTATTTAGCCCACGACTATTTTCGTGATTATTTAGTGAGTAAAAGCAGAAAGTATTTAAAAATGTCAGAAGAAACAATGAAGTTTATGAATAATCAAGCAATTAAAATCGAACCACCAGAATATTCAGAAGAAGACACTAAACGCGAAATTGAGGATGAATTCGATGATCTTGATGCTAATGTTAGATCAGAATCGTGTACTGATAACGATGAAACTTGTTTAGAAAGATTCATGAATTCCGAAGTGACTATAGAAGAAGCAGTCAAACAGGAGTCAATCGAGACATTGGCCTTTGAATGTTACATTTTTTATCGATCATTTGCAGAATCACATTATTTGAAAGAGCATATGGTTCATCACATGCCTAGTAATAGAAAAGAAAACCCTTTCAAATGCAAACTTTGTCACAAGACTTTCACACGAGTAGATCATCTGAAATGCAATACATGCAATAAGAAATTCGCACTATTAGATAATATAAACTGTCATATATTGATACACACTGAAGAACGCTCCATCAATGCAGTATATGCAATAAAACATTCATACAATTAGGTACTATGAAGAGTCATATGCTCATTCACAATGGAGTATGTTATCATGAATGCAGTAGCAATAAGAAATTTACAGAATTAGGTTCTCTGAAACAACACATGCTGATTCACAGTGGACTACATCTCCAAGAATGCAGTATATGCAATAAGACATTCACACAATCAGGTAGTCTGAAACGTCATATGCTGCGTTGTCACAGAGAAAATCCTTATATATGTGAAATATGTAATAAAGCATTTAGTCAATTGAAGAAATGGAAGAGACACATGGCACTTCATAGTCGGAAAAGTGATAAAAATCAATGAAATTTGAACATATTTGTTAAACTGAAGTTAAATATTTGGAATTATATTATAAAATACTCTTGGATGTAATATAATGTAATGTATATGCAAATATAATATAATATACATTGTGCATCACTTAATATGCATTTATTGATATCTAGCCAATTAATAATGTGGATTAGCACCACTTTTGCGGATTTAATACCCGGCTTGACCAGCTTGTAATCAAGCAGTACTGATATCAGATATTTATTTCTTTCCGAAGGAAAGGTTTGTTCTCCCCAGAAAATCCTATATGCTAATTTTATATTTTTTTGATGTTTCATGTCATTCTGATCTATTTTTTTAATTTTATTTTCAATAGCAATAAGAATACAAGACAATTCTATGAGCTATTTGGCTTATGTCATTCACTCGCACACATACACACACACTTTCAAACACACATATAAATTTATCTAATAAAGTGCTGATTAGTTTTTGGTAGAAATCAGCCGAGCCGTAATCTTGTAATAAAGTTTTAAAAAAAAAATCGACGATTTTTATGATTATTTTTTTGACGGTAGATACCATAGTCTTCTAGATCATACTAAAATATTACGGCTTTACGACAACTGGTTTAGCTTTGAAAATTCGTCAAAGTTTGCAAAAATTAGTATGGTTTTTTTGGCATTTGTCAAAATTAGAACTTTCATCGACGTTTGCTCAAACACGCCTGAACCGATTTCAGATATTTAAAAAGCATTTGATGTATCTCGATGAGGATTATCGTTTCTCAATTTTGTGCGACGATCGGCCGAGCCGTTTCTTTGTAATTTGGAAAAAAGTGTTAAACCTTTCGTCCACATTTAAGCTCATACTACCGAACCGATTTTAAAAAATCAAAAACTGTTCGAAAGATATTAGTTGGGGATGATACTGATTAGTTTTATGTGAAAATCTACCCAGCCGTTTTCTTGTAATTAACTGTTGAAAAAAAAATTAGGCCGATTTTTATGGAACTTTTTTTGGCGATATATATCATGATCTTACAGCACTTACTGAAATATTACGGCCTTACGAGTTTAATTTTAAAAATTCATCAAAGTTTGAGAAAATGAGTAGTTTTTTTGATGTTTGTTAAAAATAAAATTAGATGATTTAGTTGGTATAACGATAGAGTACTTGGTCTTAATGAACATACTAAACCATTAAAGTCCTACGGAAACTGGTTCAATTATAATTATTGATTAATTAAAATTATTGATTTTTGAAAATTTGCCTTTAGAAAATACTCCGATTTAACGTATTCGTTCGTTCGTTTGCAATGATGTGTAATAAATCCACTCGGAATACTTATAATCACTCGTAAATTAATTTAATTTTTATTGATTAAGTCGATTATTTACACATTTCGGGAAGTTCATGTAACTTGCCTCAAGGCAAAATACTAATACCAACTAGTTTATTCAAAGTTTTCAAAATATGTATTTTAAAGCTTTTTTAAACATTTTAAATTTTCGGTATAAGAAGTTCCAGCAATTTGCCTCAAGCCACTAGTTAACTTCCCGTAGGGTAAATTATAGTAATGGGCCAAAAATCAAAAATGAAACTTTTTCATATCTTCACGTTTTGAAGATTTCTGAATATTTTGGCATACCTCAGAAAAAATGGATGTGTGTGTGTGGATACAATTTTTCGTCAACGTTTTCGGGAGTACCGCTCAACCGATTCGAATGATTGAAAAAGCATTCGATTCCTACTGATGGGGATCAGTGCTGATTAGTTTTTGAGAAACGTCGGCCCAGCCGTTTCGGAGATACGAAGCAAAGAGTGCAAAAATGGAAATTAGGTTTTTGAGAGAACCGGGTATCCGATCGGAATGATTCAAAAGACATTAAATTAGTGATGATGGGGAGAAGTGGTGATTAGCTTTTGGCAAAGGCAGGTTCAGCCATTTCGAAGATACAGAGCTAAATGTGCAATGCGTGAAAGTTTTTGAGAGAGTTAAGCATCCGATTTAAAATTGAAAATTCTGCTTGTATTCGAAGTACAACTGCATGTGGATTTTCTTGCATTTTTTTTGTATTTCGAAAATAATTCATATTTTAATTTTAATTCTGTCTAAAGTTCTAAAGCTCACTTATATACTTTAAATAAATAAATTTCAACTTCGCAAATCAGGTTATATAATTCTTATAAATATAACGCAATGTTACATTATATTAATAATAATCTATTCGAAAACATTTAATACTCCTCGAACATTTTGTTAAGATACACGGGAAGTTCCAGCAATTTGCCTTAAGGCACGATGCCATGCACGGTGCATGCCGCCACTAGTTTTTTCCATTTATTTTGATATAAATTTTTAAGTGATAATTGCTATCATTGCTGCACGATACCAGTTTAGCAGTTGTGTACTCAGTATCGGTTCATTGTGATTAGAATATCCTTAACAAAAAAGTATTTATCCACTTTATAAATGTAACCGCAGAATAAATTTGTCAAGGAGACATCACAGCTGTAGAGAATTTAAATGCTTACAAGTGTTAAGTTAATGATTCAGATTAATATTGCATGTCAGAGCGCTTTGTGCTATAATCCGAATTAAAATCAAGCAGAGCTAAACAACGTCTTCAATCCAGGAAAATAAAACGTATTAAAAAATTTTAATATGAATAATTTCTTTGTGTCCATAGGGCGTTTTATAAATTTAAATTAAAAACTAGTTGTGTATGGAATCGTGCCTTAAAGCAAATTGCTGGAACTTCCCGTACCGTAACGAAATGATCGAGGAATATTAATGTTTTATAACAGATTATTATAAATATTGTAACATTGTTTAATATTTTTAAGAATTATATAAACTGAATTGAAAAGTTGAAATTATTTGTTCAAAGTATATTAGAACAGAATTAAAATAAAAATCTGAATTATTTTCGATATACAAAAAAAAAATATTTTTCGAAAAAAAAAATTTTTGAAACAAATTTTTTTTTTCCAAAATCAATTATTTTGTTAAAACAAGCAGAAAGTTCTTTGAATAATTTAAATCAGACGTATCTTCGAAATGGCTGGGCCTGCCTTTGCCAAAAACTATTACTAATTTAATGTTTTTTAGATCATTCAAATCGGATACTCCGTTCTCTCAAAAACTCGATTTCTATTTCCTGCACTCTTTGCTCTTTATCTCCGTAACTGCTGGACGTGCCTTTGCCAAAAACTAATCAGCACATCTCCCTATCGATAGGAATCGAATGTTTTGTGAACCATTCAAATCGGTTTCGGGGCCCGAAAACGTGGACGAAAAATTGTATCCATACAAACATACACACATCCATTTTTTCTGAAGTATGCCAAAATGTTCAGAAACCTTCAAAACGTCAAGAATGGCAAAAATTTTCGATTTCGATTTTTGGACGATTACAATAACAATAGATTTTTTGAGAGCATCAGATTTGAATAATCCAAAAAACATTCAATTCGTAATGACGAGGAGAAGTGGTGATTAGTTTTTGGCAAAGGCAGGTCCAGCGGTTTCGAAGATACAGAGCCAAATATGCAAAAAATGGCAGTTTTTGAGGAGAACTAAGCGTGCGGTTTGAATGATTCAAAGAACTTTCTGCTTATTTTTACAAAATAATTGCTTTTGAAAAAAAAATTAGTTTAAACTTTTTTTCTTATTTTTTTTCTAAAAATATTTTTTTTTGTATATCGAAAATAATTCAGATTTTAACTGTAATTCTGACTTAAGTTCTAATATACTTTAAACAAATATTTTTAACTTTGCAATTCAGTTTATATAATTCTTATAAATATTAGATAATGTTACAGTGCTTATGATAATGTATATGAAAACATTTAATATTTTTCGAACATATTTCGTTACGGTACGGGAAGTTCCAGCAATTTTCCTTAAGGCACTATAAAAGCACGATGCCATACACACCACTAGTTATTAATTTTTTTCGTTAGTTTCACCGTGAAAATATCTATTTGTATCTGTAAGCGTAAGCATAAGATAACGTTGCCATGACAACGCTATGTTATAAGGCAGAATTGCCCCATAAGTACTGACTATTATCAGCTAATTATTATTAATTATCTAAATAAATTTTATTAACTTATTAGCTGTTTAGTTTAAATACCGGCATTATCATATACATATTTACTTTAAAATATATCGATGAAGCTATAAATTAATTAACAGCATCGCATACAATTTCATCTTCCAATTACACAGTACATCAAAATCAGATGTATCAAAATCGGAAGCACCGCCGGCAAGCATAAATGCCTCGTTGTTACGCAATAGAGAGCCCTAATCGGTGCGGGCGGCGGGGCAAGAGCGGGGGGAGCGGGAGTCACGGGGGGCTGCTCTGCATTGAGTACGCCGGATGAGAGGGGTTCCAATAATAGTGAATATTATTGAAGGATGTGAGGCATTCCAAAACAGGGCCGGATTCAAAATGTATAACTATTTTGCGATTTATTCAAACGGTATTTAATCAAATATTATCTTAGGTTTTGGTGACGCCACAATTAACATTTTTAACTTCCCGAAGGAGAAGTTTATGTTTTCATAAGAAAATCCAATTCGCTAATTTTATGTTTTCTTGACGTTTCAAGCCATTCTGAATCCAATGAGACCAAATTTGGAAAAAGTATGTGTGTGTGTGCGTGTGCATCAACAGATTGTTTGCCGTAAATCGCCGTTTTTTCAAAAGCGGC